ATATTTTACTCCTGAACAATCAACTTTCTTCTGTATACAAATTATTGAACCAGAACCTTGTATGGACTCGTGGGAAATCTATTAATAATTTTGTTCTGGAAAATGTTTGATAACTCATGATTGGCAGTGTATTTCACTGGCACAGAGAGGGAATGAATTCTGGGATAATTAATTATTTTGCCCCGGAACCCGTCCGGCGACCTCTGAATGGGTGTGTGCTTGACTGGCACAGTGAGTTAATGATTTCTTGCGTCGAACCGATGTTCGCATACCGATTGTTTGCGTTGCACGAATCGAACGGTGGCAACGCGGACAAATATGGGGAAGGCCCTGAAAGCCGAACGTGAGGAAACACGTCGAAGACCTAGGCATGTCGAAACGTTGAAACGACACCATGCCCGAGTGCCGGTGCGGTTTCGGATCAAACATAGCTGGCATTTCGCTGTCGAGAACGGGTTCTAACTTCGTAATAAATCATGTTTGCGGTTATACAGTGATACCCTCCTTCGCCCCTCGGCTCCCGCTCAGATGCCGAGCCACCTTCATCGGCCTCGCGACTTCAGTCTCCCAAATATGCAGAAAATTACACGAGCTAATGTCAAAGCTCTAATGGTTAATACCCAGTGCTGAGAAGTGAAAGGTATTTTAATCAACGACATCCGAAAAATAAATCCGAAACTGATATTAAAACTTTCTGCTTAATTTGCTAACATGAAAGTTTCATCTATGTTATTAACGAGATGATATGAAACGCCGCCGAGGTACTCCTTTTTAATCAACGTCCAGCAGAAAGAACCTGAAAGATTGAATGAGAAAAAATCTGATAGGATTTTTTCATTTCGCGGATCGAGTAAAAATTAATCAACTCCCAAGTCATCTGGCGACACTCGATCGCGTCTTCGTGATAAGAGACACGAACGATCGATAAAGCCTGGAGATCTTGTAAGATCTATGCAACTACAGCGTTCGTTTAATCGCGCTATTCTTCTTTCGTTTTGTTTTCGATCGCCGGTATCGCCGATTCCCGGAAACCTTTTTAACCGGACGGAATTAATCACGATTAGAACGAAAATATCTCGAAGGTCGCATCAGATTCACGATAACGTTAGTGTCCGATCGGCCGATAGCTCGTACGCTTCTTTTCTCAGACCGAAAAATCGAGCTTCCTCGAGGCGATTGCGAAGCAGCAAAATCGCAAGTCACACGTCGATCCTTTCGTAATTGTTTGCATGGTGCATAGCTTGTGCAATTGATAACGGACTCGTGTCGAGATTACTTTTCCTATCATTTATTCATACAGAGTCGTTACGTGATTAATCGAATTGTAGCCTTTGTTTCTGCGGCTGTGATAAAGGAGAAAATAAGCCAGATTGGCACGAGTTAAACTTTAATCCGTTGGTAATGAGCGTTCAGTCATTGTTCCCTGTTCTTATACAATGCGATTTCGAATTATTATCAGCGAGCCAGTTGTTGAAATAAAAAGTAGATAAACTATTCCCTGGCCGAAGTTTGTGTGATCGAAGAAATGAACCGAGACTCTTTCCTAAATAATTCCTCTTTCAGTAATTATTTAATTCTAGTAG